TTCAAAATCCCAAAGCCAATGAGCATTTTGATAACCAAAAATACACGACACCAACTCAGTCTGTTAAAAAAAGAAGGTAAGCCTGTCTTTCTTGGGATAAAAATTTCATAGAAGACAAAAATGGCAACATGCCTCTAGATAAAAGCATTGGCAGAGTTCTCATTTAAATACTGCATTCCCTAATGCTCAATTTAAAATGAGGCATACAGCAACAGAATACACTAAGTATAATGCTTCTAAGAGAGCTCATTAGGAGATCTATACCATTAAAATATTAGCAAGGTATATTTCCATTGATTTAATATATTCCTATAGTACAGCCACAAGAGATTCATACATTAATGGATATCATCAAAACGTAAACATGGACACACCTGCATACATGTCTCCCTTTACAGTTCCTTATTCTTCTGTCAACTATATAGACAATAGTGAGGAATGAAGTGCACACAAAACAATGGCTAGAATATGAAAATGTCTTCTAAATATGACCAGTCTAGCATAGAACCTTCTCCTCCTTCTCAGCTCTTTCAGCTCCATGTCATCTAATCCACTCAACAAACGTAGACGTATTACTTTCAGAGGCCATCTAACAACTCTGAATTTCCAAAAGTCATCTCCAGAAGATCTGTATTTTCTATGAGTTCTTTTAAACAAATGAGAATTTACAAGATGTGTGGTTTTCTAACTCTACTTTATTTACGTTGGCAACCTCTTTACATCTGGAAGGGCTAGAGGTGACAAATGTTTTCTATTAAAAGGGTGGGGTGCAGTTGAGAGCAGCTTTTTCATATTTTACAGGCATTGATCGACTTACGACCTATGCAACTTACGACCATTCGACTTTATGACCACAATCGCTAGCCACGACTGCTCCGCGTCTGGCAGCGCAAACGTTGCCCAGCTGGGCGGCCAACAGTGCGGACCAGCTTCCGGCAGCACTACCATCTCCGCGTGCACCATTTCAACTGTTATCCCAGACTTGGTACAGCAATTTGTGTTTTGTGTCTTGGATATTTTTCATCAAACCCCTCCCAAGATGTCTACCAAGAGGAAATTGTCTTTGTCTACGCCTCAGCCTGCCAAGAAGGAAAGAAGGGCCATCGATCTCGACACGAAAATGAAGGTAATTAAGGAGGAAAGAAAGTGAATGTGATCGCACGTGATACGAAGTTATCACATTCGACTGTGTTGACGATTTTGAGAGATAAAGAATTCGTGAAGCTGTGAAAGGTTCTGCACCCATGCGATCAGCAGTTATAACAAAGCAACGAAGTGGGCCCATCCACGAAATGGAGAAATAGCTATATATTTGGATGGAAGATCAAATTCAAAAACGGACACCATTAAGTCTTTTTACTGTGCAGATGAAGGCGAGAAGTCTATTTCAGACTCTGAAGGAGCGTGCAGGAGAAGATTACAGTCAAGAATTTGTGGCAAGCACTGGCTGGTTCCAGAGATTCAAGAAAAGATTCCAAATGCATAGTGTTCGAGTGACTGGAGAAGCAGTGAGTGCGGATGAGGAAGGAGCACGTAAGTTTGTTGATAGTCTGGATGAATTAATTACTGATGAGGGATATCTAGCAGAACAGATTTTCAATGTTGATGAACTTACAAATGAAGAGCTAATCAAACTGGAAGAAGAAAGAGTGGCAGAAGAAGAAAGAAGAGAAGCAGAGAAAGAAGAGGAGGAGCCAGAAAGAAAGTTCACCACTAAGGGATTATCAGATGGTTTATCTTTACTGAATAAACTTCTTATACATTTCGAAGCAATGGACCCAAACATAGAACGATTTGCAAGGATTGAACAGATGGCGCACGATGTGTTTCGTCTGTATCGTGAAATTTATGAAGAAAAAAAGAAACATACAATTCAGACAAAGCTCACCATGTTTATGAAAAAGCCAACTCCGGTAACCCCAGCTGCTGCCTCAGATGACGACATCAACTATCCGCAGCCAAGCACCAGCGGCCAATAAAATGTTTCGTACATGTTTATATGTTTTGCAATTGGGAAAATGTTTCCTATGGTATTTTTTACACCCGTATTTTGTATTTTTGTATGCACCTGTATTTTGTAATTTTGTATGTTTTGCAAATATTAAACCAGTTGTACTGGTAATGCAGTGTTTTACTTAAACCTGACGAATGTAAAAATAAGAAACAAAATGGTGTAGAGATGATACAAATGGCATAAAATGAGCAAAGAAAATTATGATATATAACAATAATGAAAGAAAATTATGATAAAATATCACTTAAAAGATTTTTATAACATCATTTCACAGTACTGTACATATAGCCTACTCAACTTACGACCAAATCGTGTTATGACTGGTCTGTCGGAACCAATCGTGATTGTAAGTCGAGCACTAGCTGTATACACAGGCCTTCCATAAATGGCCAGTAAATCTTCCCAGAAGGTGGTGGGCATTTCCAACCGGCCATACTGCCGTTTCTTCGGACAGCAAGGTCTGGTAGAATGAAGACTAACCGCCCCATGGCCGCTAACAGTTCCACCCGTTGGCATTCGGAACTTCACTCACCTCCCAGGCCTGCTAAGGCCTTTGTCCATTGTCGTCAGGACTAGGTAAGTCTCGGCCAATGGGGACAGAGTGGTCACTGGGGACCCGGATCTGCACGGCTCCGTGGCCTAAAGAGGCGGCCGAGCTTGCCTGCGTCCTTAGGCCGCCTTCCCAGGCCCTCCATGACCTAACAGCCTCCACTAGGCAGCATTGGAGCGGCCGCTGCGTTTCCTGGCCCGCCACTCCTGCTGCCACCCAAAGGCATTGCATCCCGGCAGCTCAGCTGGGGCTTCCTAGAGGCCTGGCACACTTGGGCCGGGAGACCCGGTGGCCAGCAGGGTCCAGGCTGGGGTACGGGCTGGGAGAAGCCACCACCGCCATCAGTCACTGAAGAGGGGTGGGGTAGAGAGGTTCGCCACGGCTTCAAGGCCTGGCCCCGGCAAGGCCAGTGGGCACCCACAGCAGAGGCCCCCAGTGTCTGAAGGGCAGAGGGCACTGCCTGTCCTGGGGCCCTCCAGCTCACCCACCGGGGCTGGAGGGCCGGGAGGGCCCAGGGCGAGCTCGTTGCACTCTGCGTCTCTGCTGGACTGGAACTCCCACACTCATTTTCTTTCAAATCATCCTAGTAGGTGTATATTGGCAGCTACTTGTGCTTTTCATGTGCATTTCCCGAACGACTAATCATGCTGAGCAGCTTTTCCTGTGCAATTGTGCGTGTGTGTGTCTTCCTTGGGGAAATACATGTTTAAGTCTTTTGCCCATTTTTAAGGAGTTGTCTGATTTTTATTTAGTTTGTTGTAGATTTCGGAAGTTTTAAAATATATTCAACGTTTTAGTCTCTTACAAGATAAATGATTTGCAAATATTTCCCCCATCTGCAATTGAGATGGGCCTTGAGTCACATAAAAGTCATAAAAAGGTGCGAGGGGGGGTGATCTGGAAATCCCTGCTGTAATCTTTTTAAGGGAATCTACTAGAAACTATTAGTTTATGTTTTAAATAGAACCATCCTTTACTTAGCACTAGAATATCAAGCCTTCAGAGTCTCGCTCTGTCACCCAGGCCGGAGTGCAGTGGTGCGATCTCAGCTCACTGCAACCTCTGCCTCCCAGGTTCAAGTGATTCTCCTACCTCAGCCTCCTAAGTAGCTGGGATTACAGGCGTGCGCCACCACGCCTGGCTAATTTTGTATTTTTAGTCGAGACGGGGCTTTTCCATATTGGTCTCAAATTCCTGACCTCGTGATCCACCTGCCTTGGCCTCCCAAAGTGCTGGGATTACAGGTGTGAGCCACCGCACCTGCCGCCATTCATTGTTTAACAGAACTTTGAGATCTAATTCAAATATCATGTCACCCACATACAGTGTACAATTCAGTGGTTTCTAATATATTCACAGGTCTGCAAAAGTTACAATTTAATTTTAGACATTAATATTTATTGACATTCTTATATGCATATAGATGTAGATATATGATTTTAACATCACCTTGAATATATTATTTAATATTGTACTTTAATATCTCTCTATATTGCTGTTCTGTTATTCTGAATGATGATGATCTTCATGTACCTTTACATAGGTTTAAAATAAACCTTTTTATAACTCAAGAAATTTAACTGTTTCTAGTAAATCACATAAAAAACACATATGCTATTGTTATAAAAATTCAAATACTGCTCGGGTCTATAGAATGAAATGTATCGCCACCAGCTCCCAGCCCACTCATCCACATGCACTTACACACAGACAGACATGCCCATGTTTTACATAATGTAATTCTGCTTTGTGTGCTGTTCCCTGACTGGCTTTCCCATATAAAATACAATTTGGTGATCATTGCTTATCAGTACCTATAGGTCTCTTTCTGATCTATAGCTGCACCATTATTCAACAGGGTATTTTACCAAAATTTGGTGACTTTTTCACTGTGGAATTTTGGGGTTGGATTCAGTTGTTTGTTACCGTTCCCTACACTGAACCTGGTCTGGACCTCACTGCCCTCCCTTTGGTGCCTGCCGGCATCCTCATCCTCTTTGAAGAGCAAGGGTTCAGGTCAGTTCCCTGGATGGTGACTCGCAGGGGCAGCTCTCCTCTCACCTGCAGCACTGACTACCCATCCTCATCTCAAACACACGAGCTCAGGCGTCGGGACTGGAGCCCCTGGGGACGCGCGGCCCGAAGATTCAGGACGTACGGGGCTCAGGGCGTGCAGAGGAATGAACTGGGCTTCATCTCTGGAAGGGGAAGGGGCCGTCTTCCGGGTTCACCGCCGCATGCCCACCCCTGGCACAGCGCCTCCTGGCGGCCAACATCGGTGACTTATTGAAAGTACTGTACTAAGACCCGACGCGAGGCCGGGGGAGGCCGATTTGGAGCCGCCATGTGGAGAACCGCCAGGGCCTAGGTGGTCGCTGGAAGAGCCGTTGGAGTCGCCCAGCGGTTGGGCCCCTGGCAGGCGGTGACGTCTCCACTCGGGGCGGAGCCGCAGCTTCTGGGGCGGGGCCTGGCGCCGGCGGTGACGTCACGAAGGGCGGGACAGTATCCGAGAATTCGGGCACGTAGCTTAGCGGCAGCGGTGCGTGCCTGTGTCTCTGCGCAGGATCTCCTGGTCCCTCTGCCATCATGCCGATGTTCATTGTGAACACCAACGTGCCCCGGGCCTCTGTGCCGGACGGGTTCCTCTCCGAGCTCACCCAACAGCTGGCGCAGGCCACCGGCAAGCCGCCCCAGGTTAGTTGGGAGGGGACGGGAAGAGGGGGTGCCCACCGGACGACGGGGTCCTGCGCTGGGGGGCTGGGGAGGCGACTCCCGAAGCGGGGTGGGGGGACCGGGCGGGAGGAGGCGGCGGCTAGGGCCCAAAGTGGACGGCCAAGGCCGGGCGAGGTAGCTGAGGCTCGCTGACCGCGCCCCTCCCCCGCAGTACATCGCGGTGCACGTGGTCCCGGACCAGCTCATGGCCTTCGGGGGCTCCAGCGAGCCCTGCGCGCTCTGCAGCCTGCATAGCATCGGCAAGATTGGCGGCGCGCAGAACCGCTCCTACAGCAAGTTGCTGTGTGGCCTGCTGGCCGATCGCCTGCGCATCAGCCCGGACAGGTACGCTGGGGCGCCGAGGGGCGGTGGCGCGGGGGACCAGTGGGGGGGTGGGGGAGGTGTAGGGGCGGCGGTGCCGGGCGGGGGACTGATTGAGCCGCCCGCTGAGTCTGGCTTCCCCTCGCAGGGTCTACATCAACTATTACGACATGAACGCGGCAAACGTGGGCTGGAACAACTCCACCTTCGCCTGAGAGCCGCGCCCCGCCTCTCCCCGGGCTGTCTGCAGTGGCCCGACCCGGGAACCCGCCTCACCCTGTATTCTAGGCCCGCCCGCCTCCACCTTCTGGTGGGGAGAAATAAACGGTTTAGAGAAAGTTTCTGCTGTCACAATGGCTACATATTCACTCATGGAGGCATGACAGGGACATCTCACATCCTCAGAGGCATGATTAATCCAAGGAACGCCGTGGGAGGTGGGGAGAGCAGGTTTAAGAATGAGGTAGATGTAAGATTTATTGCCGAGGTAAAATGAGGAAACTGAGGCAAGTATAAGAAAATGAGAAGCTAATTTATGCAGCTCCCTGGCGAGGTTCTGTGGTCCAGAGGGGAGCCAGAGAAGTCGCGCCCAGCTGCTTAGGTCATGGGGTTTTATGGAGATGGAAGGCAATTGATTGGCTATTGGGGTGTGGGTAACCCCCTATATAGGCACCGAGGAATGAGAGCTAAGCAGAACTCTGGCACAGTTAGAGTTTGAGGAATATCTCACTTTATAGTGTTAATACTCAGCTGTTTCCTTTTATATAATCCTTTACATAATCATATATTAGTTTATAGAAATAGGGCTTGTAGGCTCCCTTTATATAATTCTCTATATATAATCATATAAATAGTTGATAGTATGAGTGCCTAAAGAATATTTCCCTACATATATACCTATAATTATATCTTTGTTCATATTTGGAGGAATGCCTAGAGTGGACAAAGTACAGAGCATGAATTAAGGAATAAGCAGCTTATAATTGGAGGAATGCCTAGAGCAGATATGGTGCAGAGCATGAATTAAGGGAAAAACAGTTATACCAGGACAAGAATCCATGGCCCAGGTGGCAGCGTTCAGTATTGTAAAGATGATACCTGTTGTATGGCAGGCTTGGGGTGAGAGCCACTCCTCCTGATAAAGGAGTTGTAGGACTTTGCTCCAGTTCTTGTGGAAGGCTGCCCTCAGAACGGCAATCCACCTTGGTGACTGTGAACTTTAACAGCTCTTGCTACTGTGCTGCTTGAACAGCATCTTCCCATAGAATCCATTGGAAGCTGCCAGAAGGTGGCAGTAACCTTGACAGCTCTGTCACTGCTATGTGATTTAAGCAGCCTCCCATAAATCTTAGTAGTTTCCCATAGAAGTATCGCACACTGCACCCTTTTCACTTTGCACGGCCCACCTTCAAGCCTCGGTGATCTAATGGGGGTGGACCCCTTACCGCACACAGCCCTTGCCTTGGTGGGAATGGGGCCCTTGCCTTCATGGGAATAGGCTCCTTGCTGCGAGCTGTCCACCTCCTGGCCTAGGTGACCTAATGGGGGTAGACCCTATGTTTTATTGCTCACGACCCTATCACTATCCTTAAAGATGATTTCACTCACTGCCCTGCCCCCTAACCTATACACAATAAATACTCATGCTTCTGGACATTCAGGGCTTCGCTGTCTCGCCAGGCGCCTCGCCAGCCAGCTTCGCCCGACTCCGCTTATAGGTGGCATGACACCCCCCCCCACCGAGCCCAGCTGCATTTTCTTTGTACTTCTGCGTCCTGTCTCTTTATTTCTCGGATCCTGTGCCTCAGCACAGCATAAGGGTCACCCCACGACCCTGTGGGGCACTCGGCCTTACATCTGGCTTCCCGACGTGCCCTACATTGGGGAAACAAAGCAAAGGCAATTTTATTGGCTGTCAGGAAGCAGGAAGTGCCTGAAACCAGTTGCCATTGGTAGGCAGGTGGGGCTTTGAGTAAGTGGGCCTTGATTGGCTGTTGAAGAAACAAAGTGAAGGCAATCTTATTGGCTGTTAAGAAGCAGGAAATGCCTGGAGCTAGTGGTCATGGGTAGGCGGGCCTTCCAGGGGCACACAGAGTAGATGGCTACCTGCCAGGGCCTGATGGGGCTTCTTCAGAAAAAATTTTCCTGCAGGGTTTATCAACAGCGGGCTGGGGGTTGAATGCATAATTTGGTGCTGAATGTGGGCTTGGGTCTGGTATGCAGAGGCGGGCGCGGAGAAGCTGTGTGGCAAGGCCAGACAACGAGCTCGGGTGATGACGTAGTTATCAGACGCGGAGAGAGATGGATGTGTCCGTTTAACCCTCTGCGAGGCAGCCGGCCTTACAGTAGATATGATAGAAGAGCTCCTGGCTTTGAAGAAAGAAAACATTCCACTTCAGAAAGAGGTTGAAGAAGAAATGAAGCAGCACACAAGTAATAACACGGAATTATTGGGAAGCCGACCTGATGGTGCTGCTGCTGGCAGTGATGATGATGGATTTAATCAGCAGTTTCCGAGGAAGGAGAATGAAGTGCATGACAGGGCTGAAAAGAAAACATCTGCTGGGCGCGGTGGCTCACGCCTGTAATCCCAGCACTTTGGGAGGCCGAGGGGGGTGGATCACGAGGTCAAGAGATCAAGACCATCCCGGTCAACATGGTGAAACCCGTCTCTACTAAAAATACAAAAAATTAGCTGGGCATAGTGGTGCGTGCCTGTAATCCCAGCTACTCAGGAGGCTGAGGCAGGAGAATTGCCTGAACCCAGGAGGCAGAGGCTGCGGTGAGCCGAGATCGCGCCATTGCACTCCAGCCTGGGTAACAAGAGTGAAACTCCTTCTCAAAAAAAAAAAGAAAAAAGAAAACATCTACTGAAAAGAACAAGGTCAAAAACCAAATCCGTTCTGGAGCTGACTTTGCTGACTCAATGCGACCATCTGAAACAGCCTCAGAATTCGAGTTGTCTCACTCTACTGATGAGAATTTTTTGTTGCTGATTGAACAACTTAAAATGGAGCGTAAAGATTCTGTTAGCCTATCAAGAATCAAGGATGCATTTCATTTATATGAACACTTACTGGAACTTAAGAATAATGACTGTGAACGACTTACAGCAGAAATTAAACAAATGGGAAATACGGTTAGTGTACTACAAAAGGAAATATCTGAAACAAAAGAGACAAAATTACAGTTAGAGCATCAGAAAATCGAATGGGAACAAGAGCTGGGCAGTTTGAGGCTTGGCTTAAAGCAAGAAAAAGAGAAGAAAGAAAATTCCGATACGTTGTGAATAAAGGTAGTGAACAGTTAAGGATAAAGGAAGAGGAATGTAGGAAAAAGGCTGAAATGACGCAACGACTTGAATGGACTCTGAGAACCTCATTAAGGAATTGAGGATGGTCGAGCAGCAGCGAAACGATGCCCAGCAGCAACTTTCCGAAGAACAGAATGCCAGAGTATTACAAGATCAGATTCTGACCAGTAAACAAAAGGAGCTAGACATGGCTCAAAAGAAAATGGATTCTGAGGGAGTTACGAGACAACTCCGACTAGAATGGACTGATCCCCTAAAACAACAACCTACAGCAGAGGCTACATCATTTAATTTAGATGAAACACAGGATTTAAAGAAGAAATTGGGTCAAATCAGCAGTGAAGATGACCTTACAGAAGCACAGGAAACTGCACCTTCACAATCTCTACGTGTGGACACAGAGAATGAAGTTCTTTGGCAGACATTATTCGCTATGATAGCATTAAAAAAGAAATGTCAAACACTACATTAAAAAATGTGCAGCTGAAACAGGAAAATAATAAATCTCGAAAGTTTTATGCAGAGAAATATGTTAAAACTTGGTGAAGCTGGACAGTATGAAGCACTGAGTGAAGGAAGATTAGGACAGAATATAGTAGAAAAGTTAAACGAAATGCATCTCCTCTTGCAGACTCAAGCAGTATCTACGGAACAGATCCTGCAAAGGCTGGATGATATGAGTTCAGAAACAATTCAGACCTCCACTCAGGTCTTTAGAGAAGCAGGGGAGTCACACACCCCACTCACCTCGGCCACCCAAAGTGCCGGGATTACAGGCGTGTGCAGCCGCGCCCAAAGGTAACAGAAGGCTTTACAGGTATGTCTGGCAAACACGAATGGTCCCAATGGAAACCCCACACCTCATTTCCTCAGGGAACTGTTGTGGCGAGGCTTGGGTGGCTGCGGGGAGCAGAACCCAGGCTCAGGGTTCCAGGGTGGACAGAGCCTTATAACCAATAACTCTGCACCTCTCCCATCCACCTGCCTGCAAACTCTCCTGACGTTCCCTAACACAGGTGTTTGCAGTGAGGGGCTCTGGGTGGGAGAATCTTTCTGTCCTCTGGCTACCCTTTGCCCATCAAGAAGGCCGAGGAAGGTGGGACTGAAAGGTCTAGCCTAGAAGACCTCAGACTCCTTCCCAACTCCAACTCCTCCGCCCCCTTTTCCAGTCTCACCTCTGGCACCCCATGTGCTGACCCCTAGGTAGAAGGGAATCAGCTATGGGTTTCTGCCCAGAGTGGCGAATCTGCCTTGGGTGGACAAACACCTTAGATACCGAGTCTGCAGCCCGGGGCAGGGTGCTGGTTTCTCCTCACCTCTTCATACCCCAGAATATGGAAACACACTGGGGCTTCCCTGTTGGGAGGTAGGAGGGAAAGTCTGGACAAAATGGCCACCAACCCAGCCCCGACCCCCACTCCTGACACCATTGCAGCCTGGCTCCCCGGTGTCCCGGCTCTGCACCTACTCCTCCCGAAAACCAAGGAACCCTGAGGCACTCCCAAAACCTCCAAAATGAGGTTCAAGGCCTGCTGCTAGGCTGTCCGTCTGTTGCAAACAGTGGCCCTGAGGGCAGTGAGGGTCACCCTGTAGACCAGGAGTCTTTATCAGCGGGTGATACAGTGCCACCAGAGTGATGGAGAACAAGAGCGCATTAGAGGCCCCACACCTGTCTGTCCCACACTTCGGGGTTTTAAGTGTTACTTAGAAACACGTTTCCAAGGCCAACCCTGCAGGTCCCGGGGCAGTGAAATGGTGTGAGGAAGAGACCCCCCACCTGGTGGGCGCTGGAGCCCATGCTGCAGGCTTGAGGTTTCCTTCTTGGATGGCAGTACCTGTGGTGTAAGAGGCACCCTCCTCGGCCCTGGTCTTTGTCACATCCCCTGAGCTCCTGGGTACCCCCAGCCCCAGCCTCTAAAGGTCTGAGGCTGAGCTTTGCCCAAGACCCACAGGTTCCCCTCACAACAACCTTTTCCTCCCCTTCGGGCCCCATACCCCACCGCAAACCTTGGCTGGTCCCCCAAATCC